GACCATTATCCAACATATACAAAGAACTGTTAAAAAACACAATAAGAAAACAAACAAGCCGATAAAAAATGGGCCAAAAACACCTCACCAAAGATACACAAATGGAAAATAGCATATGAAAAGATGCTCCACATCATATGTCATCAGGGAAATGCAAATTAAAACAACAATGAGATATCACTATGTACCTATTAGAGTGGCCAAAATCCGGAACACTGACAATACCAAATGCTAACGAGGTTGTAGAGCAACAGTTACTCTCATTCACTGTCAGTGGGAAAGTAAAATGGTATAGTCACTTTGGAAGACAGTTTGGCAGTTTCTTACAAAATGAAACATACCATTACCATAGGATCCAGCAATCATACTACTTAGTATTGACCCAAAGGATTTGAAAATTTATGTACACACAAAAACCTGCATACAGATGTTTATAGCTGCTTTATTAATAATTGCCAAAACTTGAAAACAACCAAAACGTCTTTCAGTAAATGAATGGATAAACTGGTAAATCCAGACAATGGAATATTATTCAGCGCTAAAAGGAAATGAGTTATAGAGCCTTGAAAAGACATAGAGGAGACGTAATAAGTGCAGCTTTGTAAAAGAAGCCAATCTAAAAAGGCTACATACTGTCTGATTCCAACTACAGTTGACCCTTGAACAACTTGGGTTTGAAATGCACAAAATATGTGTTAATAGGCTGTTTATGTTATTGGTAGGCTTTTAGTCAACAGTAGGCTACTAGTCAAGTTTTGGGAGAGTTAAAACTACACGTGGATTTTCAACTGTGTGTGGGATCAACACCCCTAACCATTGTTGTTGTTCAAGGGTCAACTGCACATAACATTTTGGGAAAGGCAAAACAATGGAGACAGTAAAAAGATCAATGGTTGCCAGGGCTGGGGTAAGGGAGAATGAGTAAGGGGAGTGCAGATGATTTTTAGGGCAGTGAAACTATTCTGTATGATACTATAATAGTGGAGACATTTGACCAAATGCACAGAATGTCTAACACCAAGAGTGAACTCTAAGGTAAGCTATGAACTGTGGATGATAATGTGTCAATGCAGGTTCATTAACTATAACAAATATCCCACAGGAGTGGGAAATGTTTATAATGAGGGAGGCTGTGTATATGTGGGGGCAAAAGGGTACATGGGGAATCTTTTTACCTTCCATTCATTTTTGCTGTGAACCTAAAACTGTCCTAAAAAATAAAATCTATTTGAAAAAGGTAGGTAGTGGCTCCCTGTCTTTACGTCTAAAACAAAATTTGACCAGATTGGCAGTTTATCACACTTAGCTGCTGCTGAATCTGTCTGTCCCCAATGGTCAATTATTTCATGACTCTCAGCTCCTCCAGGGCAGGGAGCATTGGCCGCCTTTGCTCCTCTGACATCTGGGGTGGCATTGCACACATAATAGGAAATATATATTGTTTTTACTGTTGCTGAATAAATAAAAGAGGCTCAGTTGAGAAAAGAGATTCCTTTTTCCTCCTGCATTTTTAAAGCAGACTTAATTGAAACAACTGGGCAAAAACTTGAACCGATTCATGTCTCCCCCAAACTGTATACTTATTCCTACTGAGGCCAAGGCCCCATGGGATGATGCGGTCAAATGGGACTATAATGTGCTGCCATTGTGGAAATGGATTTTTACTTTATACATTGCCACTATGTTCCTCTAAAACTTCCTTTGGATCTATTATGCCATCTGTGTACATTCTGCAGCAGTTACAATAATAATGCCAAAGTCCCACAGAAATAAGATTTTTAAAATGTTATGTAGTTACAGTGAAGAGGCAGTAAACACTTCACCAAAGTGAATAACAGTTCTTTACCATTTTAAAGAAAAGGGGAAAATACCAAATGGGGTCAATTCACATTATGGACTAATGGCCTGTAAACCTTTGTTTGAAAGCCAAGCATAGGAAAAAGCTTTGACAAGAGCTACTTTACACCATAAAAATAAATAAACCTCTTTCCAATAATTTGTGTGTTTTTCCCAAGTCAAATTGCCAAGTTTCAAACAAAAATTAAAATTACCATCCAGATGCCTGGCTGGTGTGGCTCAGTGTTTGGGTGTCGACCTATAAGCCAGGAGGTCACGGTTCGATTCCTGGTCAGGGCACATGCCCGGGTTGCCCAATAGGGGGCATGCAGGAGGCAGCCCATCAATGATTCTCTCTCACTGATGTTTCTTTCACTCCCTCTCCTTTCCTCTCTCTGTAAAATCAATAAAAACATATTAAAAAAACAAACAAACCACCATCCAAGTACAACCCTTAAAATATAGGCTTTGAAGTAGAAATGGTAAAACAATCTCAGTGAAGAAAAGGTTGCTACTGACAGTAAAGGAGAGTTTACAGTAGAAATTTCACACGCCAGTCCCAGGGCACTTGTTGACAGACAATACTTAGAATCCATTCTCAATAATATAACTGTGTGGAAGGACTGTTGTTTTTCACAGGACTTTTGTGTACTAGTGTCCTGGCTTTGGTCCAAATTGAATAAATATATTTGCCCTCCGGATCTCACAAATTTTCAATTCATTTTTATAGCAAGTCACCCTTGAACAGCAAGTCAGAAGAAAGCAATTTCACTCCAACTTATAAAGAGAGAAGTGACTTATATATATGTTAAATTAACATTTATGGAAGTTTCCCATGTGATTGTTCCCCTAATGATTATAAGAATATTCTTGTCCTCCAATTGTTCCCTATGGACTTCAACCTGTGTTCAATTCTCTTTTATTTAGAAACCACTTAACTGATGTGTTCAGAGTGCCCAGGACAGGGGATTTCAAACTTACCTGTATATCAGAATTGTCTGGGGGACTTTCTAAAAAGTTGAGCTTCCTAAACTCTACTTTACAACTGAATTAGAATCTCTGGGTGTAGGATCCATGGATTTCGATTTTTATATGCTGCCGGTGACTTAGGAGAGAGCTTTTCAGATGTTACTTGGTAGAACCACAGGTAAGCATGACCCAGTCTTTCAGTTTATATCCTACCACTAACAAATAGCCTAACATCACAAAACATTACTGAATGATCTGAAAACACCCTGAGCAAGGAAATTTCAGGTAATTCACTCATTCCTAAACTAACATTTAGGAATAATAAATAAGCAGAGGGAAGCTCAAAGAAAAACAGCTTCAATAATTAAAATCCCATAAATAAAACAAAAGGCTCTGGAACATCTTGTGAAGTTCCTTCTATCAGACATACAATTTGTACCCTTCTCTTGTATTTTATTTAGCCTTCTGACCTGTAAAAGAACCCATTGATAATTCACTTAGTGCCATTTGGCCCTGAACTTCTGGATAGTGTATTTATTAGAAGCAAATGACAGTAAATCACCTGGGTGTACAGATTCTGTCAACACCGCTCCCCTTTTGCCAAGCGAGAAGCTTCCAGTGGCTGCTCTATTTCCTCTTATTTTCTTGTAGAGAAATGTACATTTCTTAATGTTCTCTAAGAAGCTGGGGTAAGTCTCCAGTGACTTTCCAGATCGCTCCTACAAGTCTCTAAGAGTCACCAGACTTTTGAAAACTGCTGATCCTGAGACTGATTCAGCCCCTCAGATAAGGATTTTAGAGATATCTAGAAGAGGAGTCTAGCCCCTCAGAGTCTGAGAACATCTAGGGAACACTCTGGGATGGCTAGGTTCAGAAAGAAGCAAAGGGGGAGCAAGTTCTACTATACCAATATCCAGAAAGAGGTAACAAACCCAGCAGAAATAGACAATGTACTCATTAGAGAATCCTCTCAACTCACAACACCTTAGCCTTAAGGAAACGTCCTTGGGTGAAAAGAGAAGCAGCTATTAATGATACTGCAAGTCAACATGGACTAGGTATCAGCCATGAAAGTTTGAAAACGTAGTTACTAATGGACAGAAGGAATTTTTTCTCTATATAAATCTTAGTGATACTATGCTGTGGAAATAGCCAAAGTTCTTGTTGAACAGCTAAAGACAAGATACTAATATCAGAACCAACTCCTCCATCAGTCACAAAGTGTTTCAGATTCAAGGACAGCAAAACCCAGTAAGTCGAGGCATTAAAAACCATAATCTCGAGCCCCTCTTGATGGAAAAATGGAAGTCAATTATGACTAGAACTGAAAACAATTAAGACCAAATCAAGGGCAGCATGGGGATTTTTACGAGTGGAAATCCAGCAGTATTGTAGGCTTCTGTATGCCCTTGAGGTTGCCTCCGGCCTTTACACCGACCAAGAAAATGTTGAATTGATATTCACGGACAAACAACATAAACACTCTGTAGGTAACTAATAAGAAAAATGTGTAAGTTCGCCTTTTTTATTTTTTACAGGTAATAGAAAAGTTGTCAATGTGATTTTCAGGTAGGAGGAAAAAAAAACGCACACTTATCATGACATGTTCAAATACTTTCAGTTATGTAACAAAGCTTTTCCCAGACCCATTAAGCCTCACAGTGCCTGCAGGACTTGCGAGGGTTACAGGCAGCAGCTGATCACCTGGGCTGCGGTACCCAAATGCTCTCATAGGATGGAGTCAATAAAGAACTCCACTCCATCCCTCTCTTTCAAAGTGAACCTAGGCTTTTAGTGAACAGCAGAGACACACTCCAGGTTTATTTTTTTGTGGTAATATCTGGTTTTTGCAGGTGCAATGATCACGTTGCCTATGCTTACTTTATTACAATTACTAAACTCTATTGAAAATAGCATTTTCAAAATATAGCATTTAAAGAGTCCTTTTTGTACAGTTCCTCCCCCAACGCCCTGCTTTAATAGAGAACAATATGAGACAGACTGTGGGGGCCAAAGCCGGGGATTCCTACGCTACCACCCCTCATGCAGGGGATGTCTGTGCTCACAACGGCCCCCAGGGCCTGCTTCTGAGACAACAGTGTGATGCTGCGTGACCAGCCTGACACAGTAGGTCTGGCTTTTATGATGCAAATTTCCACTTTAAACTCAAAGGTAATTACAGTATTTTAACGTACCTTTCTCATGATCGGTAGTAAGTTTCTCCAGTGCACAGTCCACATCAAAAATGTACCGGTAAAAGCACAGCTGGGTGTACAGGGACTTGTCAGAATA